GCTCAAGTCCTGGGTGCCCACCCGCTTGTCCTCTGTGTGTCTGACCTGCTCCTTGGCCCCCTTTGCACACATGCAGTCGGCACCCAGCTGTCACACCAGGGCCCGTTGGAAGCCCTGAGGACACAGCAATGGCTCAGAGGACATTCTTGGCCTTTGTGAGGCTTGCGCCTTGCAGTGAGCAGACAGTAAGTAAGAAAACAGATGCAGCAGGGCCAGAGGGCCAGGGGGACCACCCCGGTCAGGCGACAGAACACTGGCTGCTTTGGTTTGTGGTCTTAGAAGATTTCTCAGGAAGTAAAGTGTGAGCTGAAAGGAGAGTGACAAGACAGCTAGACTCAGGGCTGGCTGGGGAATTTGTTCCACTCCAGCACTTTGAGCCAATCAGTATCTATGTTGAGTCTATGTTGAATCTCTGTTGAAGTGTCACTGGGAAGTCAAACAGCGTGAACCTGGTAAGTTGAATGGCACGTGCAAAGGCCCTGAAGCACGTTGAGTTGGAAGTCCAGAAGTGAGCTATTGCAGTGAATCAAACAGGGAGGGGGAGGCCAAGAGGGTGCCTAAGTATGAGAGGCCCGGACAAGGCAGAGCCCCAGACTTAGGGCCCTCCTTGGGGGTCTTTGGGAGGGAGCAGCACGGTAGTACCCTGGAGCCATGTGCCTTTCTGCAGAGTGCTGCTGGGGCTCGGGCCATCTGGAAGGGACAGCCAGGGCCCAGTGCAGAGGTGGCTGTGGTTATCTACAAACAACCCCTTTGCAGCACATCATGTGTTACTGCCTGGGCCTCGGGCCACAGGAATCAGGTGACCCAGGCAGCAAGCCCGGCTGGGGAGGGAGGGGAGCATGCGTTGGGGGCAACAGAACCAATTTCCATTTTCTTGATCTGGGCAAGTCCTGCCCTCCAGCTGGACTGAAAACAAAACCAGCCTCTGTGCACAGTCCTGCTCTTGGGGTGGTACCGGGTTCCTGGGGTTCAGGGAATCCCTGGGGAAGGGCTTACACAATCTCAGGCCCCCCAGGACCAGGGGAGAGATCAGCTCTTCCCACCCCCGTGCCCTGTGCCACACAAAGCCCTAGTCTCTCTTTCTCCCTCAACCCAGGGATATTTTTAGCCACTAAGAAGGATTATCAGCTGCCACCCAGGTGGCAGGGCAGGGCTGGGAGCCGGGCCAGGAGGCTTCAAAGAACAGGCAGGCTGGGGGACCAGGGGCAGCCGAGGTGTGGGGATGCTGGAGCAGACACACACACACACACACACACACACACCCCGGTTACTCTCCAGATGACCTGGAGGCCACCCCGGGCTGCATCCGGGGGAACACAGGAGGCTCAGGGAGGGCTCCCAGGCTGTGTGCGGCCACTTGGATGCTGGGGACCACCCGGCCAGCACCTCCCCACCCCCATCACAGCCCCTAAACCTCCCCCTGGCCCCACCCCAGGCATCACTCCCAGCCTCCCCCATGGAAGGGGCCACTCTAGGTCCCATTTTACAGATGATGACACTGAGGCACAGAAGCCAGATCACCTGCCTGAGGTGGCACAACTGGTGAGTGAGGCCAAAAGCAAGTCAGAGGTGATACCTGCGTGGGTGTCTGTAGGTTCTCAGCCACTGCCCTTGACCCCCTGGCCCAGAGCCTAGGACCTGGCCATGACCACTGTACAGATGGGTAAGCAAGGCCCAGGGGGGCAGCGCCACTGGGAAGAACTAGAGGAGCTGGGGTGCCAAAGGTGACAATCCAGGGGAGCACAGCTCAGGGCTCTTCCCTCAGGAGGATAATCTGGGTCTTTCCTGCCAGAGACGCCCAGTGACAGCCATGCCTGAGCCCCTCCTGCATGCCAGGCCCTGCCTGGGTCTTCCTGTGCAGGGTCTGGGGTGGGGCGCGGCTGGGAGTGCCTCAGGAGGATCCTGAAGCCCTTGAAGCACTGGGGACAGGACTGCAGTCTGCTGGCTCCAGACCCTGCTCTCCTCTCAAACCACAGCATCACTTATTTATGCATCAAGAAAGGAAAGTGCGGGCCTGGGGTTGTAGCTCAGTGGGTCGAGCGCTCGCCTCGCGCACAAGGCCCTGGGTTCAATCCCCTGCACCACAAGATAAAGGAAGGAAAGTGGGCAGGGACGGGTGGGTCAGGGGGCAGGGCTCCTCCGTGAGACCTCTGCTGTCATGGTTCTCTGGCTTGGAAAGTGTGTTTCTGGTCCCCTTTGTGGCTTTGGACCAGAAGGGGCTGGGCCTGCTGCAGCTGGGAGGACTAGGTTTGAGAACCACGCTGCCTTCCCCACCCCAAGCCTGGCCAGTTCCTGACCGCGCGGTGAAGGAGGCAGAGCTGGGGAGGTGCTTTAACTGGACAACCATGGCCACGAGGTGGTTCCTCCAGGAGATGGGGCCGACTGAGCAGGGCTTTGGAGGAGGCACGGGAGTTTTCAAACAGACCGGGAGGCCTGCAGGCTCCCAGGGCAGAGGCCTCACCTCCTTTCCCACTGTGTTGTGTCCCAGCGCTCAGCACAGTGGAGTGCACTTGTAAAAAGACGGCTCTGTGTGCAGGGTCACGCGGTGCCTGGCGTGGGTTTTGAGGCTGGGGGTGTAAGTGGAGACCTAGAATCATGGGCAGCTCAGGGTGGCTCCATGCACCAAGGACCCCAATCTGAAGACCCTCAGGTTGGGGCAGAATCATGGAGCTGGCCCGAGACTCCTGGGATCTGGCTCCAGCTCCCGCTCCTTCTGCTCTCGGGTCTTTCAGGTGGGTGGGAGAGTCCCTTAGAGGAGGCTGTAGAGGGAGGCTGTAGAGGTCCCCCGTGACCTTGGCTGTGCCCGTGAGGCTGGGTCCAGGCGCGGCTGGGGGCGCCAGGCAGGGCTGGAACACTGTCAGGCGCAGGATGAGGCAGGCTGCCAGTCAGGGATGACAGCCGGCTTCTCTAGAGAGATCAACCCTCTGGCTCTTGTCCTGGGTCTAGACGAGCCACTGTCACACACCCGCGATGCTTGTTAGCTGCTGACTCCGAGAGCCCCCACAGGATGTCCAGCACGTCACTGGCGCCTTAATGACCTGGTTCATCGCAGCCCCTTCCTGGGGACCAGCCATCCGCACGGGTCTGAACCTCGGCCCTACACTGACCGGACCTCCCTGCGCCCACCTGCTCCCATCCTGGGCCCCTGAGTCTACCCCGCCTCCTGTGTCTGTGGGGACACCGAGGCCCTCCTGCTTGTCTTGTCCAAGGCAGACAGAGCCAGCTCGTCCCCTGACGCAGCCCACTCCTCGGGTCCCTGGCTCTTCAGTCTGGAAGGCCAGTTTCGGGCAGGGTCACAGCGAGGGCGCAGACGGAATTAGGCTGCAAATCGGCTGACCTTGAGAGGGGGGATCATCCTGGATTAGCCAGGAGGCCAGTGTCGACAGAGTCCCCTTGGAGGACAGGCAGGGTCCAGGGAGAAGTCGCTGGAGACCAGGAGCCACACCCCCCACCTACCGAGGGCTGTGGGGCCTCCAGAATCTGCAAGAGGCCGGCGGGAAGCCTCCTCAGAGCCTCCCAGAGCCCTGCATTAGCCCAGGGAGACCCGTTTTGGACTTCTGACCCACAGCACCCTGGATCCTAGATTCTGTGTTGTTTAAAGCCACCAAGTTTGCGGTCTCTTGCGAGAGCACCCAGAGGAGACCCGCCAGCGTCACAGGCTGACTCCTGGGTTGGGATTTCCCATCAGTAGCGATGCCCGTGTGGCGGTGTGCTCTTGGGCAGCTCCGGTCCTTTCTGTTTCTGGGGGCGTGGGGGACACTGGAGGTCACCCAGGCCCTCACGCACACTAGCATGTGCTCGGCCACCGAGCCTTTTGGTTTCAGTGTTTATTTGTGTTTTCTTTTTTTAGCTTTTTTTTTTTTTTTCCCTCTTTTTGCAGTGCTTGGGGAAGGAACCCAGGTCCTTACACATCCCAGGCACCGAGCCACCATCCCCAACCCTCAGTATTTTAAATTTTATTTTATTTTATTTTTGCTGATGTTTTTATTGTTTGCAGTATTGGGGGTCAAACCCAAGACCTCACGTATGCTAGGCAAGAACTCTACATGAGTTCATTTTTTAATAGACAAAAACTGTGTGTGTGTGATGACTGGGCTCAGTGGCACATTATCCCAGGGACTCGGGAGGCGGAGGTAGGAGGATTGCAAGTTAGAGGCCAGCCTTAGCAGTTTAGCAAAACCTTGTCTCAAAATTTAAAGAAGGGGAGGATGTAGCTCAGTGAAAAAGCACCCCTGGGTTAAAAACCCCAGGACAAAAAGAAACATGTATATATTTGTAGCGAGTATTCATTGTGCAGTGGCTACATTAAAGCACCTAGGCATTATGTCACAGGGGTACCTGTTTGTGTGTGCTGAGAACACTTAAAGTCCACTCAGGAGCAATTTTCAAATATATAATACATTGTTACCGTGGTCACCATGCTCTTCAAGAGATCCTTGAGCTTACCCCTAACTGAAATCTTGTATTCTTTGACCGCTGCCTCCCCACCCCTCCAGCCCCCGCTCACACCTGGGTCTTTGCTGAGGCCTTAGCTCTTGGCCCTTCTTCATCCCAGATTCCTCTGCGTCTAGACCCTTCTCACCACCTCGCTTCATTGGGACAGTCCACAGCACTGTCTAGAGGCCACCCCATGCGTGGCATGGCCGACAGCCCTAGTCTCCCATCTCAACGCCAAGGACAACAGCACCTCGCTGCCACTGACGGAAGTGGTTTTAGATAGAGTTGCTTTAGATAAAGTGAAGCCCACAGCTGCGACCCGGGGAGTGCCCCCGAGAAATGGAACACTGCCACCCACGCAGGACACGCGGACGTGCTCACGGCAGCTTTGCCCCTAATTACCCAGAGCTGGAAGCAGCCCAGGTGTCCATCAGCAAACGATAAGGAGCCAACTCTGGCTCATCCGGACAGTGCACAGGAGTCACCCCATGGACACAGAGGCGTAGAGGAGTCCTGGCAGCAGGACAGTCTGTGGTGTGCAGGACACCAGACGCACACAGGCAGCGCGTGCAGCCATTTATCCGACGTTCTAGAAGTGACAAAACTAATCTGTGATGACCGATATTAAAAGTATGGGATAGAAGTTAACTTTGGGCAGCAGAGGTGGAGGAAGGGACACATGAGAACTTTCTGGAAAGAATGTGGGTAGGAGGAGATTGGGTCACCTAGGTGCGTAGATTGGTCCAGACTCAGCCACTGTAAACTTGAGATGCATTCCCTCCAGCAAATTTTACCTTGAAAGAAAAAAACAAAGGGTAAGCAAATATTGAGCCCGAGTTAATGATCTGCACACCGAGATGTTTTGGGGGGGTGTGGTTTGATGTCTGCTGCTTACTTTGAAATGCATCCAGGAAAATGAGATGAACTGATGGATGGGTCATTGGGACGGACGGGCAGGCGTGCGATGAAGCAGACAGAACAAAATGTGAAGGGCAGATCCAACGGTGGGTTCACGGCATTCAGAGTAGTCTTTCAGCTACTCTGCAGGGCTGAATTTTTTCATTATAAAATGTTGGGTGAAATGATCCAAATCTCCCTTCTGGCCCCTGTTCCTTGCATGCCCTGCCCCCCTCACCTCCTCCCTGTGTCCCCCTCACTCACTCAACTCCAGCCACATGGGCCTCCTTCCTAGACCTCCAGCACCCTGAGCTCCACCCTACCTCGGGGCCTTTGCACCTGCTGCTAATCTTCTGAAAAGCCCCTTCCCCAGGCCCCCTTCCTTTCCTACACTACCCTCTTTCGCCGTGAGTCTCGGTTCCTTCCAGAGCCCTCCTTGCTCACTACCTTCACAGCCACCCACTCGGCGTGTTGTCTCAGGCTCCATCACACTCTGGTATCTGGTCTTTATGAATCGGTTCACTCGTCTTCCGGCTGCCTTCCTGCAGGCCTGTAAGTTCCACAGGAACAAAAATGTCTTTCCCCCTCCCCCACTGTGTCTAATGCCCAGCCCCAACCTGGCATGAACAGGACAAATCAAACCAGGGACATCTGTGGCCTGAAAGCAATGGTGGGTGGGTGGGTGGGTGAGTAAGTGGGTGGGCTGACAGATGGGAGGATGGTAGAAGATGGCTGGATGGGTGGACAGACGATTCATGGACAGACGATGAATGAGTGAACAAAGACTTTCCAACTGGTGACTGGCGCTGTCCGCTCTTGGCTCAAGATCTCGGGACTGAAATGCAAATCAAAACCACCCTAAGATACCATCTCACTCCAGTAAGATTGGCAGCCATTAGGAAGTCAAATAACAACAAGTGTTGGCGAGGATGTGGGGAAAAGGGTACACTTGTTCATTGTTGGTGGGACTGCAAATTGGTGCAGCCAATTTGGAAAGCAGTATGGAGATTTCTTGGAAAGCTGGGAATGGAACCACCATTTGACCCAGCTATTCCCCT